CCAATGGAGATAGCAACCCAAAGTATATTTACAAGTTTTGTTGGGTGAAGAGTTTGAAAATAAAATTTGAGCTTCATAAGATAAGATGAAATTAAAATATTAGTATTCTTAAGTGAAAAACAAAATTTGAAGAGTCTGTTGAAAAGTGGATTGGAGTAACAAATTTTTTAAAGTAGCATAATGAAATGAGTTAGTAAATGGCACTTTTGAAAACAAAAATTTGCTTCTCTTTTGGAGATGCTGCCTTTTGACCAAAGTCAAACAAGCATCTATATCTAGTCACCTACAAAGTTCCATGCTTTACCTGTTAGCACAAAAACAGTTAATCCAAACAAGAATTAATATTAGGGTTTAGGAAGCTTTGATATTACGCTAAGTTGGATTGTTTATTGATAATTCTAAGAACTCTGACTGCATTAGAATATTATATACAGGGCAAGGCTGCCGGGTATACCCCTATATAAATTTCTTGCAAGTCACTCATCAATTCACGCCAAGCCTTTTATTTTTCTTGTAGTGTGTAGAACAAATCACAGAAAAAAATTTCAAGATCACTATATATCTCTATATAGTATCATGGTTAGGGACGTCATTTATAAGGAGCCAACCGGTGTTCCACGGAATAGGGAGCAGGTGTTGAATCTTTTCAATAGTTTTGACAAGGACGGCGATGGCATGCTGTCCAAAGAGGAGGTGAAGGAAGCCTTCAGAAAGCTCGGGTCGCATTGGGGCGGTTTCAGGGCGAGGAGAGCTCTAAGGCATGCAGATGCCAACCGTGACGGGCTCATTTCTACGGAGGAGATCAATGACCTTGCCAACTATACCCTAAAATGTGGGTATACGCTAAAATAATTATAGTACGTACTGGGTTATTAGTAGTTGCAGGCTTGTAGCGAAGGAAGGAGGTGATCATGTGTTGCCTCCTTTTTTTGCGAACAGTGAAATTCATCGAACAAGATTAAGTACAAGATTTGATTAAAATTCATAACTGAACAGAGGAGGGTTTATGCAATAGAAAATTTTGATTTAAATCAATACACCTTGCACAAACAAAGACCATATACAAGATATGGAAAATAACCCACTACTCCATAGAAGCCAGATGAATACATGAATCTTTGACTTGTACGCCTAAGAAGAAGAATAGCAGCACCTGAGCATATTACTGGGACCTGGGCATTCGTGTCGTGTTTTCCGTGTTCGTGTCATTTTCATGTCATACCCGATATCTTAACGGATCGTGTCGTGTAACACCCGTTAAAATAAACAGGTAAAATGACCCGACCCGAAATCGACCCGATAATATTAACAGGTAATATGACCCGACCCGTTACCCGTTAAGGAAAATATATTTTAAACCAATAAATAATCAAATGATAAACATAATACTAAATAAGTATATACATACCATATTGTCACATCCAAAACATAAAACACATTTTTCTTTTAAGTATATTTTCACTTACCTAAAGTCTTTATAATAGTTTTTTAATTAATGTAGAAGTGTAAAAAAATATAGAAAAATATATATAAATGCTCGTAATGACAAGCTTTACAACTTTCATGAAGAGCTTAACTTCAAAATTCGCCACTATAATCATATAAATCATAGATCAAAATTTAACCGTTGATTGTTGTTTACATTTACGCTTCATTGTTCTCATCAAATTTTGTTTTTTCAGATTTTCTTTTTGAAAACTTGATCTATTAGAGGATGCAGGAAGATGAACGGTTTGGATCGTTGATATTATATTCAGAGTTTTACAGTTAATGAAAATATTGCTTGATGTTTATAAAGTTTCTACAAACTATATGACATCGACTCATATTTCAGTTAACCGTAAATATCGAAACGTGATATCAAAGATCTGAACCGTTCATCTTCTTACATCCGCCATATGATCATGTTTTTAAAAAAGAAAATTTTAAAAATGGAATTCAGTAAGAAAAATAAAGTGTAAATAACAATCGACGGTTAAATATAAATTTAAGGTTTATGAATTATAGTGTTGGATTTCGAAGTTGACCCCTTCATGAAAGTTGTAAAGTTTGTCACTATGAGTGATTGTATATTTTTTTTACATTTTTTACACTTCTACAATAATTATTATTAATTTTCCCTCAAATAAAAAAAACATTATTCATGAAGGTTTGGAGGATTTTAAAAATCTAAACGATAATGTAAGTGTAACCATTATCTACTCGTGGAAGAATAATGATGAATCACGAGTGTTTATATATTCTTTCACATTTTTCATACTTGTATGTATGTCTTCTTAGTTCTTGCCTATACAAATACTATATTAGTTTATCTTAATTTTGGACAACAACATGTTAAGTAAAATTTATCCTAGTAATGATAATAAGAAACTCTCATAATAAAAATAAATAATGACTAAATTTTTTTTTAAAATTATATAGAATAATAATACAAAACTATATATTTAATATAGAATATATTGTATATATTAATATGCCTATTGTATTTTATAATAAATCTTTTAGTAATTAAACTTTAAAATTATTAAAATAATTTTTTTCTTAACGGGTCGAAATGGGTTACCCACGTGTTACTCGCGTGTATACCCGTTATTAACGGGTTCTTAACGGGTCACCCGATAATGACCCGATAAGTTATCGTGTTGACTCGAAACCCGTTATTTTCGTATCGTGTCAGAAACTGCCAGGTCTGGGGACCAGCAGCACCGTCATAAGGAACGGCATAATCGCTCAACATCCTTGCCGACTGAGTAGTCAGAACTAATCCACTATAATTTTTAGTCCACTTGTCTTACATATACATTCGACTACGCACGTATGTATTTATGTATGTAAGTATATGCACATATATTATGCATTTAGCTCCCAAATCTAACCCGAACTCGACTTGATTACTAACTCGAATTCTAGTGTAATATGTTTTTTATATAAATACATACTCACTCGACCCATAATTCAATCCATTTCTTAGAAAAGAAAAACGAAAAACACTTCATATGCCATGTTTATTTACTCCAATTATGTTAAAATTTTCAATTTCTTTAAAAGTTTCCTTTTGATCATGACAATAAAATAAAAAAGGATAATGCATGTGTCCTTCTATTGGGGGAACTCACTTGTTCTCCAACATTTTTGTCCGAATATTATAATTGTAACTATCATCTAAAGATCATATCTTCAAAAAGTTATTCAATTGGAAATCTTTTAGTCATTCATATGCATAAACAAATAGACGATTCATCATGAGGATATTACTTGTTACTGAAACGGTTGATTTGTTTAACACGTAAGGAGGACTAATGGATCTCGAAATTGAATAATTTTTTTTATGATATGATCTTTAGATGATGATAAAGAGAATGAAGGGTTTCTCTTATAATATTCGGATGAGAAAAGTTTGTTAATCATAAGTGAGGAGGCAAGTAAGTTCCCTCCATGGAGGGACACAAACATTATCCTAAAAAAACCTTATGATCCATGTGAATAAATTCTTCCCACTTGTGTGGCCAAGTAAGTTCTCTCCATGGAGGGACACAAACATTATCCTCAAAAAACCTTTTGATCCATGTGAATAAATTCTTCCCACTTGTGGTACACACACAATCATAATCCATGGCTCCATAATCATATTATCATATCTGAAAAAAAGCAAAAGTAGTTGGTGTATCTAGTATAACTGCATGCGACAATATGAGAGTCTGAGGCACACTTTTTACGTTCTCAGTCAAAATAACATTTTCTCCCAATGAACAGATTATTACCAATTGTCTCTTTTCCTTCCCAGTCAAAATAAGATTTCTCTCAATTACCTGCTAAAAAAAAAAAAATCATCAGCTTACATAGAGCAGGCCCTAAAGAAGTGCAAGTAGTGCCACTGCACAAGCCTCCAATTGTTTTTCTTCCTCCTTGTAAATGGAATGAGTGTCATTGAATACATTGGCAGTATAGTGTAATCCGTGTTTTTAACCATGCGGGCCCGTGGGTGTTCGAATCTAATAGTTGTCTTTTTAATTTTAGCTTTTTTTTTTCACAATAAAACAAAAACCAAAATTGGATGTTCACAATCAAGTTCGAATCAAGAACCAAGGTCCCACTAACTAATTACCACCGCTAAGTAAAATTTTGTTGCATAGTTTGTAAGTTTTATTTTATTTGCACAGGCTCAAACCTTGAAAAAAATTTAAAAAAAATATATCATGCAATATTTGGTTTGAAGCTTATGTTTAACTTTCGCACATGGCTTCTAAAATCTCAAGATTGGCTTTGAACTCACATCGCATAGTGGGCCACTAAATCATCGGGTCAAATGTTCAAGCCACTTTCACAAATGATATCATATACTTCGAAGTCATCCCTCTAGACCTCACATCTTTCTCTATAAACCTTCTCATCACTGAAGCTCCTCTAAACAAATTGCTCGCAGAGAATTCCCATTTTCTGGTCGTAAAAAACCAATACTTTCTCCAAGATTTCTTGATGCTGGGATTCTTCTCAATTACATTTTCTATTGACCCGATCAGGTAAAATAAACTAACTTGGAACAAGCTGTTTCTCAGACAGTAACAATTGTACAAAAGGTTCATGCTATGTTCTTTCCCAAAGTGCTCGATGTTAACCAAGCTGTAATCTCATAGAAGAATGAGATGTATAATGCTTGTGAAAGATACAGAGAAGAAGAAAGAAGATAGAGAAAGATTTAGAGAGAGAGAGGTAATCTTTTCATGTAAATTTTCTGTCAATGTACATTCTTACAATATCAAGACTATATACTATCTTCTATGAAACTTATTGTCTAAGTCACAATGTAACTAACTCTAACAACATTCCTAATCTTTTGACAAGTGTCTCCATATTCTACCATTGGATTACTATCCTTAACATCCCCCCTCAAGCTCAAGAGAGGTGGAATCGAGACTGAGATTGCGACAATGAGTCTGAAAGAGAGGAGTTGATAACCCCTTGGTCAGTATGTCTGCATATTGTTCACTCGAAGACACAAACTAAACATGCAACTGCTTCTTTGCAACTCGTTCGCAAACAAAATGAATGTCAACTTCAATATGCTTTGTGCGTTGATGTAGAACTAGATTTGATATTAATGCAATTGCTAACATATTGTCACAATACAAAAATGGTGAACTAGGGATATCAAGATGCACAAAGGTTAATAATTGCTTAATCCAATCCAGTTCAGCTGCAGTAGCAGCAAGTGCTCGATACTCAGCCTCAGTTGACGACTTGGATACTATTTGTTGCTTCTTAGAGAACCAGGAGGTCGGATTTGAACCCAAAAATATCACAAAACCAGTAGTAGATCTTCTGTCATTAGGGTCTCCAGCCCAATCAGCATCAGAAAATGCTCTCACAGTGTCTGAATTAACTTCTAATCCTCCTTGAACATACCTAATACCTAAACGGACAGTACCTTTTAGATATCTGAGTATCCTATTGACTGCACTAAAGTGAGATTCCATGGAAGTTTGCATGAACTGACATACTTGATGCACAGCAAATGCTATATCTGACCTAGTAAATGTTAGATACTGCAAAGCACCAACCACACTTCTATAAAGAGCTGGATTGTTATAAGGTTTCCCATCATCAAGAACTAATCGATTATATGGCAGACAAAGGGTTGAACAAGGCTTGGAATCAAGCATTTCAGTCTTTGTGATGAGGTCTTTAACATACTTTTCCTGTGATATAACCAAACCATCATTCTGTGAAATAACCTGAATTCCCAAAAAGAAATGCAGAGGACCTAAATCTTTTATATCAAACTCCTTTGTCAAGGCAACAATCACATCATTGATCAAACTTAGAGCATTACCAGTGATGATAATGTCATCCACATAGAAAAGCAATAATACAACAGAAGAGCCAAATTGTTTCACAAATAAAGATGGATATGCATGAGTTGTTTTGAAATCAAGTGATGGCAAAAAACTTGTAAACCTATCATTCCAGGCTCTAGGGGCTTGTTTTAAACCATATAGTGACTTGTGTAGTTTGCAAACATAGTCAGAGTGTTGAGGATCACTGAAACCTGAAGGTTGTGACATGTACACTTCTTCCTGCAATACTCCATGCAGAAATGCATTCTTAACATAGAGTTGTCTCAAATTCCACCCAAAATGAGCTGTCATAGCCAACACAAGCCTTACAGTTGTTGGCTTAACAACTGGACTGAATGTTTCCCCGTAATATATGCCTTCTTCTTAATTGAATCCTTTTGCCACCAATCGAGCCTTATATCTCCCTATGGACTCATCAACATTCTTTTTAATCTTAAACACCCATTTACAACCAACAATGTTTTCTGTGCAGGAAGATGAACTAGACTCCATGTAGATTGAGTATGAAGTACATCTAATTCTTCTTTCATTGCATCAACCCAAACTTTACACTTCAATGAAGATTTGTATGTTGTAGGTTCAACAGTAGAGAGATCCACAATCCTATTTTCCTAAACTGTAGTAAGAAATGCCTTCTTTTTGGAAATACCACTCTTTGATCTGGTTTGCATTGGATGCAAATTCAATGGAGGAATAGATAACACTGCTTGAATACGTTCAGGTTGAAACTCAGAGACCATAGAGTTCTCAATTGGAACCTCAAGAGCCACAGGGATATGTGTAGATGAAGATTGTTCACTTGCATTGATGGATTGTGTTGAAAGTAGTAGGTTAGGATCACTGGACAATGGTGATGGTGATGATGGTGAGACTAGCACATTATCAAGATTAGGCATTGATGGTTGTATACTTGGTTTTGACACTTGTGATGTATGGGGACTTGGTGCATGTGTTGATCCAATAACTGAATAAGGAAATTCAGATTCATCAAACAAAACATGCCTGGAAACATAAACTCTCTTTTTGATGACTTCATAACATAGGTAGCCCTTGTACTTTGATGCATATCCCAGAAAAATGCACTTAATTGTTCTAGGTTGTAACTTTGTAGAGGTTAAGGGTCTTAAGAGTTGATAACAAGAGCAACCAAAGACTTTGAGGTGACTGACATCAAGGACAGAACCATAGAGCATTTCAAATGGTGATTTCTGATTCAGAGTTTGTGATGGCATTCAATTAACAAGATATACTGATGTTTGACATGCAAAAGACCAAAATGGTGCAGGTAGTGAAATGTTTGAAGAAGAGTGATTGTAGTTTCAATAATGTGACGATGTTTCCTCTCGGCCAAACCATTTTGTTCTGGGGTGTATGGACAAGATAAGTGGTGACTAATGCCTTTGGCAACAAGAAAGGTTTGTCACTGTTTCCCTATATGCTCAACCCCTCCATCACTCTGAAATGTTTTAATAGACACTGAGAAATGATTAAGTACAAACTGATAGAATGTAATAAATGTGGGACAAACATTAACTTTATTGACAAGTGGAAAAATCCAACAAAATCGAGTACATTGATCTATGAAGGTAACATAGTACTTAAAACCTTCTATAGACAGACATGGGGCAGGACCCTATACATCACTGTGTACAATATCAAAAGGTTTGACAGATTTGTATGTGGCTGAATCAAATGGTAGCTTGCTAATTTTGCCCTCAATACAACTTGAACACATCACAGGTATAATCAGAAATGCTAGATACATTTGATTTCTTAAGCATAAGAGAAACAACTTTGTTGGAGGGATGGCCTAACCTATGGTGTCATAGACTAGAGGTTACTGGTTTGCCAATATAAGTAGCAGAGAAGGCTTTTGGTGTATGAGATGAAGATAACGTGAAGGGGATGGGATACAATCCATCATTGAAGAGACCTTTGAACAATATTCTCCATGTGGCTTTGTCCTGAATCCAAAAACACCAAGCATCAAATATCAACCAGCAATTATTATCAAGACAGATTTTATGTACAAAGAGTAAATTCTGAGATATTATGGGCACATATAGAACTGAATTTAATTTTAGATTGTGAAAGGGAGTTTGCAATATGGAAGATCCTTTATGAGAGACTTTCAAACCTTCACCACTAACAGTTTGAATCATCTCAGTGGAAGGAAAAGGAGTTGCCAATCAAATTTGCAGTCATGTGGTTTGTTGCACTTGAATCTATAAGCCAAACTTGCTGAGAAAAGGTTGAGTCCATTGGAGGCGCAGATGCATTGACATGCATAGCATTCATTGATCCAGAAGTAGAATTAATGTTGGCATTCCTGAAATGACAAAAGTGTGCACTGTGGTTCTTTCTTCCACAGATTTGACACCTTTCAACTATTGCAGATTCGGTGTTCCGAAATCTACATGTATCAACAAGATGACCATATTTGCCACATATCTGACAAGAATTTCCATAATTAGCCTGAATTGGTGAAGTTCCAAGAATCCAACGAGCTGGATTTGGATAAAAAGGCTTGTTGTTCCCAAATTTGGAACCATACTGGAACTTCCCTTTACCTTTATTCTTGTTGTAGAATGGTTTATACTGAGAGCCATATTGAGTTTCATAGGATCCTTTAGAATTAGACCCGACAATTTGATTGTTGTAAGAAGACTGTTGTCCAGATTTCCCATTAAAACGTGTCTGAGAACCACTATTATCAACAGTCTTCGCAGTAAGAAAAAAAGGTGCAGAAGCACTCTCAAGCATTGCTTCTTCAGCAAGCAATTGAGATCTCAGATCTTTAAGAGAAATAACATGTTCCCTGCCTCTAATGATTGATCTAATGGTATTATACTCAGATGATAGGCCATTAAGAGTAAGAATTATTATATCATCATCATCAAACTTAACCCCAGCTACAGAAAGATAGTCTCTAGCCTCCTTGATCCTTTGCAAATAAAGAGAAATAGAATCATTACCCTTTTTAATATTTTGTAGTTCGGACTTCATCTGGAAAATACTCGTTCTTGTAACAGTCGAGAATTGTTCCTTGAGTCTTGTCCATATATCATAAGCACTAGTACTCCCTAGCACAAGAAATGGCAGGTGATGAGAGTGTTGCAGCAATCAACTGCATCAATGCACGATCGTGCATCTTCCAAATCTTGTAGGCATCAGATTCTGTTTAAGAAGTAACTCCTTTAGAATCAACCTCAGACCCATTAGATGTAACCCTTATGAATTGAACAGGACAAGGTGCAGATCCATCCACAAACCCATAATTCCATGCCCTTCAAGAAGAAGTTACATCTGAAAATTCCAAACCACGTAATTGGTCTCATCGAGCTTTACTGTCACAGATGTTGAAACAGTGGATATGAGGGATGTAATTGGAGACTGAATAATCTGCAGTTGTGAAGTAGTAACCATTTCTGCAAGAAACCTAAAATCTTGAAGAAGAACAACGATTAAGGACTTATATCGAACACTTGGTGTGCACAGCAAACGAACACCAAGAAAAATGATAGAGAGAAGATGAAAAACATCAAGAAACCAAAACTGATGATAATGGGATCAGAAATGATGAGCGGAAGCAGTTCAAGATCGAAAATATCCAACCGAACGATTAGCTATTTTGGTGACGATACCATGTTAACCAAGCTATAATCTCATAGAAGAATGAGATGTATAATGCTTGTGAAAGAAACGAAGAAGATGAAAGAAGATAGAGAGAGATAGAGAAAGATTTAGAGAGAGAGGTAATATTTTCATGTATATTTTCTGTCAATGTACATTCTTACAATATCAAGACTATATACTATCTTCTATGAAACTTATTGTCTAAGTCACAATGTAACTAACTCTATCAACCTTCCTAATCTTTTGACAAGTGTCTCCATATTCTACCATTGGACTACTATCCTTAACACTCGACCCATAACACATACAAACTGAGAATGACCCTAATGGTATTGAGTTTCGTTTGATATAGCACGAGACCTATGTGACCATAATGATATTGAGTAATGTCTAATTGTCCCCTAATTCTTTTGACCAAGGACAGATCAATGAAATTATGGGAACTACTTGAGTCAATAAGCATAACTACTGAGCAGTTTTTTATCATTCCTCCAACTTTCATAGTTTTTATCGATTTACAGCCAGAAGTACCAAACAAGGCACATGCAGTTATTGTAGGTTCCAGATTTTCTTCCTCCACAGTTACTACATCATCAAGATCTTGAACATCAATAAGAAGCAGTTGTTTCTTTTCACAAGAATGACCTCTATGATACTTTTATTTGCAATGAAAACAAAGGCCATTTTTTCTACAAACAAGTCCTAGGATCCAATGACCCATAGGTCCCAGGATCGAAACCTAGCTTTGATAACAATGATAGAACCCTAGCTTCACTTCTTACTCAATGTAATAGCAGAAACAATGTATTTTCTGTAGTAATCAACTTTTACAACAATAACACATTCTTCCTTACAATTTTCCTTATATAGCACTAAGTTATCTTAGCTGCTAAGCTATCTGCTAACAACCTTATCTCTAATAGAACTAACTAACCAACTTTTCCCGCCCATTATTAGTTAGAACAACTAACTAATTGTGCCGAGTCATCATCCTAACAAAGATAGCTTGTAATAATAATAAAAAAGATTTAATTAACTTGTAATAATAAAAAAAAATTAATCTTAACCAACCAAAAATAATACAAGCTTATTGTAAAAATTCTAAGTACGTTTTCATGCAATTGAGAGTCCTTCCATCCAAATGGTTCTAAGAGTTTCTCTATTTGACTACAAAAGTAAGGATGAAACTTGTATCATTTTCAGTAAAGAGAAAAGTCATCATTCCACTAACGTGACATTAGTTTACCGTACAAACTTGAAATCCAAAATAAAGACTTCTCCTTACTGAGAATGTGGAAAGTATGGTTCATAAATTAATGCGTGCAACTTTTGGGGATTGTTTGGTGATCATCTACAATATTAAACTAATAAATTAATTTCTATAAACCATATCAAGAGGCTTCATAACCCTAAAGTTGAATATTATTCCATTCAATCACTCTTTGCGAATAATTCCATAATCATTTCTATTGTAGTATATACTTTTATCACTTGTAGTAAAAAACATGAGCATCTTCAAGGGAGGTAACAATTGTAAGGAGTAATCAATCTAAGGGCTATACTCTTGATAGGTGTCATAAGATTTGACAAGTAGTTAGCTTATGTTGTAAGCAACCTTAGTTGTATATATACTATAAGGATGATGTAAACAGTTA